ATATTGATGGTATTGATACTCTTCCGCATAAAAATTTTCCATTTTGAATGATAAAACACAAAAATCGTAATTGGTCATAATAATATTAGCATAGTATTAGTGTTAGTGTTAGTATTATTAGTAGTCGACTAATTAGCCGATTCCAACCTCTACACCTCAATTGGTTTTGTGGTAAAACTTTAAGTGCTATAGTCAAATTCACTATAATTAATATACCCAGTTCTATATAATCTATCATAATGATAATGATGTGTGCTCAGTTATATTAAACATAAAAAAAGCTCACAATGTAACGAAAAATTATTAACGTTCTTCAATTTATTACTAATAATGGCATTTATTTCTTTGGTCTGGAAGTCGAAACATTTGAAATGAAATTGGTTTCCCTCTTTTATGAGAAGGTGAAAGTAGCGAGCGTCTTTTATTTTTTAGGGATAATCATATAAAGTGACAACAATTTTTAGTGTCGATAATAAATAGTCAATTAATATTTTTGTAACGAAAAATGCTATTTTTTTTTTTTGAAAAGGCATGTGTTGATTTACAATTGTTATTATTATTTATCATTTATTATTTATTATTATTACATACATTAATATTGGTTTGTTTTACTTATATTCTTTTTTGAAAAATCATTTCAATTTACGACTTTCGACTTCACCACCACCGGCAATTACACCAACACGGAAATTAGATGTTAAATTTCTAGCAGCATTAGAATGATCATAAACACCACCATTAAATGCGGTTGTCATATCCTTGCCTATTGAAGTGGTGATTAATGATCTGCCACCTGGATGCTCTTCAATAAAATTGGTTACATCGTAAATTATACCTTCTATCAATATCCAATTATTATTTTGTGCATGTTCTTTAACTTAAGTAAAAAAAAATAAAGAATTAATTAGATAATTAAATAATAATAGTAATAATAATAATAATAATAATATATATATGCACATCACTTACATTCATCGAAAGTATAAACAGGTAATTGATTTAATGGAACA